GTCCATCAGGATGCCCATAGGGATGTCCATCAGGATGTCCAAGGGATGCCCATAGGGGTGCCCATAGGGATACCCATAGGAATGTCCATCAGGATGCCCATAGGGATGTCCAAGGGATGCCCATAGGGATGCCCATAGGGGTGCCCATAGGGGTGCCCATAGGGATGCCCATAGGAATGTCCATCAGGATGCCCATAGGGATGCCCACAGGAGTGTCCGTCAGGATGCCCAAGGGATGCCCATAAGGATGCCCATAGGGGTGCCCATAGGGGTGCCCAAGGGATGCTCATAGAGATACCCATAGGAGTGCCAGTAGGGATGCCCATAGGGGTGCCCATAGGGATGCCCAAGGGGTGTCTCGGGCTCCGAGGTGCAGCAGCCCTCACTTCACCCCATTGCAGTGGGGCTGCTGCAGGAGAAGCTGGCTCAGGACCCACTGCTGCAGAGCCAGGCCCCCACGGTGCCTGCACCACCACCGCCACCACCACCGCTGCCACCCCCTGCACCCACTGTGCCTGTGGAGTAAGTGACACCCATGGACACCCATGGGTGCCGTGGGGCTTCCAGCCTGTCCCTGCCATGGCAGATGAGTTGGGCTGGGAAACCTTCACCCCACAAGGCTGGGAACTGTCCCCACGCCGTCCCTGGGCATCATCCCCATGGGATACGGATGGGGGTCACTGGGCACGGTGTTGGGGGGTTCCTGGTGCAGCTCGGATGGGCTCTGACCTCCCCTCTCCCTTCCAGCCCGCTCTTGGCCATCAGACAGAGGAAGGGGCTGGTGAACCTGCAGCGCTGTAAGTCCCCACCATGGGCCCCATTGCATCCCTATGGGGGGCCATCTGGGGGTGCTGATGCTGCTGGAGGCCCTGGTGCCATTGAAGGGGCACCCTCATTCCCTAAAGGGGGGTGCTCAGGACGCAGCACCCCCGGTCCTGCGCAGCTTGTGATGGGGATGAGCAGGGTGGTACCAGCCCTGGGTCATGGTTGGGTTTGGCATCAAGGGATGGACCCCGGGCATGGGACCACTGCTGGGAGGGGGCATCTCCTGACCCCCCAGCAGGGACTGAGCCTTGCCCCAGTGTACAGGGTCTCAGTGTGGTGCTCCCTGCGCAGGCAAGCCGGAGGCTGAGGATGCCAAAGCTCGAGCCGTGCAGGAGATGATGGAGCGGATAAAGAACGGGGTGGTCCTGAGACCCGCAAAGGACCGGGACCCGCTGGGACAGGTAAGGGGGGACCATGGGCTCCCCATCCCATGGGGTGATGTTCTCAGGGAGGACCCAAGGACTCGGGATGGGTTTGAGCAGGATGAGGCCACATCTCCTGCAGGGTGCATCGGTGATGGGCAGCAAAAGGAAGAGTGCGGCGCTGGAGCTGCAGAGCATCCTTGTGAGCATCCCCATCACTATCCCCAGCTCCAGCCCCTGTCCCTTGTCATCCCTGTGTCCCAGTGCATGGATGCTGCCCCTCAGCACCCCCCCTGTGTGCTGTGGTCCCCAGGGGGCCATGAGGAGGGCGAGCAGGAGGGCTGGAGCGCGGCAGAGCAGCATCAAGGGCAGGGACCAGCAGCTGGAGGCCATCCTGCAGCGCCGGCGCCGAGCCCTGGATGCGGCCCCTGAGGAGCAGAGCGATGCTGAGGCTGTGGAATGGCTGGATCCTGGTATGGGGAAGGGCTTGGGAGGGGGGTGCTGAGAACGTTGGGGCTGGAGAAGAGAAGCTGATGGAGACCTCAGAGCAGCTTCCAGTGTCTGAAGGGGGCTATAGGGATGCTGGGGATGGACTCTTCATTAGGGACTGTAGTGACAGGACAAGGGGTAATGGGTTCAAACTGAAACAGGGGAAGTTTAGATTGGATCTAAGGAGGGAATTCTTCCCTGTGAGGGTGCTGAGGCACTGGAATGGGTGCCCAGGGAGGTTGTGAATGCTCCATCCCTGGCAGTGTTCAAGGCCAGGTTGGACAGAGCCTTGGGTGCCATGGGTTAGTGTGAGGTGTCCCTGCCCATGGCAGGGGGTTGGAACTGGATGATCTTAAGGTCCTTTCCAACCCAAACTATTCTATGGTTCTATGATTCTATAATGGGGCTGGGTGAGCTCTGCATGGAGGGAGCATCCCAAGGGAGCGGGGTCAGTCTGTGGGATCAGCGCTGTGAGCATGGCGGGACATGGGAAGGGTTGAATGGAGAAGCTGTGGCTGCCCCATCCCTGGCAGTGTTCAAGGCCAGGTTGGACACAGGGGCTTGGAGCAAGCTGCTCCAGTGGAAGGGGTCCCTGCCTGTGGCAGGGGTTGGAGCTGGAGGAGCTTTAAGGTCCCTTGAACCCAACCCATGCCATGGTTCCATGACTGGTGCAGAGGTGACACCACCCCTGTCCCCTCGCTGTCCTCTAACCCCACCTGATGCTCTGTGGTCCCTCCTAGTGGCAAGCACTGGGTCCCATTGGCTCTGCCCTTGCCCTCACCCACATCTCCCATCTCTCCACAGGGGACGAGGACCTCGGGGCGGCTCCATCCGGGTGCTCCCCACCAGGGAGCAGGGGCAGGGTCCCCTTCAGGCCAAGGGCTTCCAGTGGCCTCCCCAGGACCCGGCCACTTGCCCGCCCTGCCAGGGGCAGTGGGGAGCCAGGGTAGGGGAGGTGGCATCGCCCTGCCTGGAGCCATGGCTGGGTGAGGAGGTGATGGGTGAGGAGGTGGGAGAGGAGGTGATGGGTGAGGAGGAGATGGGTGAGGAGGTGATGGGAGAGGAGGAGATGGGAGAGGAGGAGATGGGTGAGGAGGTGATGGGTGAGGAGATGGGTGCATGGGTGATGGGAGAGGAGGTGATGGGTGAGGAGGTGATGGGTGAGGAGGTGATGGGTGATAAGGAGATGGGTGAGGAGGTGATGGGCTCCCATCCTTCTCTTCCAGCAGCTTCCATCCTCCTGGGCTTCAGTTAAAGTGGGGTAACACCAGGTCCTACCTGTGTCTGCTTAGGGGACACGCACAGGGATGGCACTGGAGCTGCTGCAGCTGGGTTTTGGCACAAGCCTCTATGGGACTGCAGTGGTCAGGCACCCTTTGGCACCCCAGGGGGCCTGATGGCTGCTGAGTTCCCCTTTGCAGCCTCAAGGAGGTAAAGGGCACCCAGACCCCCAAATAAAGGGACTTGGATCACTTGGGAGCTGTGATGTCCCATGTCCCCTCCTTGTCCCCAGCCTGGTCCCACTGTGCATGGGTACCCATCCACGGCACCGGCAGTCCCTGCACACTGGTGGTGCTGGATGGGGATGTGAGCTTCCTCTTGGTGTCCATAGAGACCCCAGGAGAGCAGAGCCCCAATGGGGGGGTCACGAAGGGCTGGGGATGCAGATGGGGACCCCCCCAGTGACCCTGGTCTTGTGTGGGACCCTAAGGAGCGAGCCCTGAGCTCCTGCTTCAACCCCAAAGCCTCGGGGTTCCCTTTGGGGATCCAGGGGATGGTGAGGGGGGGATCCTGCCCCTCTGCTGTGCTCTGGGGTGACCCCAATGCAGCCCTGATCCAGGCACAAGAGGGACGTGGAGGTGATGGAGCGAGGCCATGGGGATGCTGCGAGGGCTGGAGCAGCTCTGCTCTGGAGCCAGGCTGAGAGAGCTGGGCTGGGGCAGCCTGGAGAAGAGAAGGCTCCTGAAGGGGAGACCTTAGAGCAGCTCCAGTGCCTAAAGGGGCTGCAGGGAAGCTGGAGAGGGGCTTGGGACAAGGGATGCAGGGATGGGATGAGGAGTTTGGGCTCCAGGCTGGAAGAGGGAAGAGTTGGATGGGATACAGGGAAGCTCTTCCCCATGAGGGTGGTGGGACATGGGAATGGGGTGAAGCTGTGGCTGCCCCATCCCTGGCAGTGCTCAAGGACACAGGGCTTGGAGCAAGCTGCTCCAGTGGAAGAGGTCCCCATGGCAGGGATTGGAGCTGGATGGGATTTAAGGTCCCTTCAACCCAAGCCACTCTGCGATTCTAAGACCAGGAGCACCCAGGAATGGGGAGGAAGTGGCCCCAATTCAAAGCACAAATGGGGTTTGTGCCCACACTGGTTTCATTAAGCAAGAGAAGCGGTTCCCCACCACACTGGGATGCCACTGCCACGAACCCACCCTCCCGGTCCCTAACCCCATCCGCAGCCCCACCACTGGCAGGTCCGGGTGGGTTTTGGGGTACACGAGGCTGCTCCCCAGGCCTGGGGGGGGGTCACAGGGCTGTGGTGGCCGGGTCCTGCACTGGTGCTTTGGTCTCCCGTGGGTAGTACTCAGCCAGGATGCTCTCGGGGATGCGCTTCAGCAGCTGCTTGGGGAAGATGCGCAGGAGCTGCCACCCGATGTCCAGGGACTCGAAGATGCTCCGGTTCTCATAGGGGCCTGGGTGGAGATGGACGCAAAGGAGACAGGGAGGTGCTGGGGGTGCCCCCATGGAGCCGATCCCCACCTTGGGCCCTGTGCCCTACCCTGGGTGATGAAATGCTTCTCGAACTTGTGCAGGAACTCCAGGTAGAGCAGGTCATCGGGAGACAGCGCTTCCTCCCCTACCACCGCCTTCATCGCCTGCACGTCCTTCCCGATGGCGTAGCAGGCGTACTGCAGGGGCAGGACCCCAGAGAGGAGGGAGCAGGGAATGGCTTGGGTTGAAGGGAGCTCAAAGCCCATCCAGCTCCAACCCCTTCCACTGGAGCAGCTTGCTCCAAGCCCCTGTGTCCTTGAGCACTGCCAGGGATGGGGCAGCCACAGCTTCAACCCATTCCCATGTCCCACCACCCTCATAGGGGAGAACTTCCCTGTACCCCACCCAACTCTTCCCTCTTCCAGCCTGGATCCCAAACTCCTCATCCCATCCCCGCATCCCTTGTCCCAAGCCCCTCTCCAGCTTCCCTGCACCCCTTTAGGCACTGGAGCTGCTCTAAGGGCTCCCCTTCAGGAGCCTTCTCTTCTCCAGGCTGCCCCAGCCCAGCTCTCTCAGCCTGGCTCCAGAGCAGGGATGCTCCAGCCCTCGCAGCATCCCCATGGCCTCGCTCCATCAGCTCCACGTCCCTCTGGTGCTGCTGCCCCAGAGCTGGACCCTCAATCTCCCCCTAGAGCTCCCATTCAAGCCATGGAGGTGCCAAAAGCAAATGCTCGAAGCCACCAGGACCAAGAGCACCGAGATCCCATCCCCAGGCAGGGGGACGTTGGTCACCCCCCTCCTGCATCCCCTTACCAGCTGGTTGGAGACATCCCCATGGTCCTTCCTGGTCATTCCCTCCCCAATGGCCGACTTCATCAGACGGGACAGGGAGGGCAGCACGTTGATGGGGGGGTAGATCTGCAGGGAGAGAGGACCCCAATGCATCCTCCTGCTGCTCCCCCATGCAGACACGGGCTCCGCTGCCCCACTTTGGGCTCCCGATGCCCTCAGCATCCCCATCCCAGTGCTCTCGGGTGATTCCCAGCCCCACGTGAGCTGGGAATGGGCTCAGGAACGAACCTGCCTGTTGTGGAGCTGCCGGTCCACGTAGATCTGCCCCTCGGTGATGAAGCCCGTCAGGTCGGGGATGGGGTGGGTGATGTCTGGGGGATGATGAGGAGGGGGTGAGCCCCAAAACCGGGCCTGGCTGCATGGGCAGGCATGAACACAGCCATGCCCCATGCTGGGGGTCACCAGAGCATCGTGGCCACGGGGAATGAGCACTGGCCTGGGGCTGAGCAGGAGGCAGCTCCCCCATCACCGGGCTGAGCACTGCCTGGTTTAGGCTTACACACACCCATGGGCACCCCCAAACCCATGTCTGCACCCCAAACGCATCCTTTAGTGGAGCCCCAGCGCTCTGCTCCAGCTGGGACCAGAGGGGTGATTTGTGTGCATGGGGAATAACCCTAAAGCATCCCATTGAGCTTTGCTCTCCCAATGGACCCCAACAGCCCCCCGGGCACCGCTGACCATCGTTGGGCATGGTGAGGATGGGGATCTGGGTGATGGAGCCGCTCCTGCCCTCCACGCGCCCAGCCCGCTCGTAGATGGTGGCCAGGTCCGTGTACATGTACCCGGGGAAGCCGCGGCGGCCCGGAACCTCCTCCCGAGCGGCCGATACCTGCGGGATGCGGCTGGAGCGAGGGATGCGGGAGCACCACAGAGCATCCCCCCCCCTGATCCCAGAGCCACAGAGCACCCCGAGCATCCTCGGTACCCGGAGCACCCGCAGCATCCTGGGCACCCCAAGCATCCTGAGGCACCCGGGTACCTCAAACACCCCAAGCATCCCTGGTACCCTGGGCACCCCAGGCATCCCAAGTACCCTTGGTACTCCAAGCACCCCCAGCACCATGGGCACCCCGGGTACCTCAAACACCCCAAGCATCCCCGGTACCCCGGGCATCTCAGGCATCCCAAGCACCCTGAGCACCCCATGTACCCTTGGTACTCCAAGCACCCCCAGCACCATGGGCACCACGGGTACCTCAAACACCCCAAGCATCCCTGGTACCCCGGGCATCTCAGGCATCCCAAGCACCCTGAGCACCCCAAGTACCCTTGGTACTCCAAGCACCCCCAGCGCCATGGACACCCTGGGTACCTCAAACACCCCAAGATCCCTGGTACCCCAAGCACCTCAGGCATCCCAAGCACCCTGAGCACCCCAGGCATCCCAAAAGCCCCAAGTAGCATCAGCACCCCATTAACCCCAGACACCCCAAGGACCATGGGAGTCCCCAAGGTTCTTGAAGACCCCAAGCATCCCAAGTGTCTCAAACACCCTGGGCACCCCGAGCACCCCAAGTGTCCCAAGCACCCTGAGCACCCCAGGCATCCCAAAAGCCCCAAGTAGCATCAGCACCCCATTAACCCCAGACACCCCAAGGACCATGGGAGTCCCCAAGGTTCTTGAAGACCCCAAGCAACCCAAGTGCCCCAAACACCCTGGGTACCCCGAGCATCCCAAGTGTCCCAAGCACCCTGAGCATCCCAAGAAGCCCCAGGTAGCCTCAGCACCCCAGGAACCCCAGACACCCCAAGGACCATGGGAACTGCAGGGTTATTGGAGGCCCCAAGCATCCCAAGTGCCTCAAACACCCTGGGCATCCCAAGCACCCTGAGCATCCCAGGCATCCCAAAAGCCCCAAGTAGCCTCAGCACCCCAGGAACCCCAGACACCCCAAGGACCATGGGAGTCCCCAAGGTTCTTGAAGACCCCAAGCATTCCAAGTGCCTCAAACACCCTGGGTACCCCGAGCACCCCAAGTGTCCCAAGCACCCTGAGCATCCCAGGCACCCCAAAAGTCCCAAGTAGCCTCAGCACCCCATTAACCCCAGACACCCCAAGGACCATGGGAACCCCATGCTTATTGGAGGCCCCAAGCATCCCAAGTGCCTCAAACACCCTGGGCACCCCAAGAACCCCAAGTGTCCCAAGCACCCTGAGCACCCCAGGCATCCCAGAAGCCCCAAGTAACCTCAACACCCCATGAACCCCAGACACCCCAAGGACCATGGGAACCCCATGCTTATTAGAGGCCCCAAGCATCCCAAGTGCCTCAAACACCCTGGGCACTCAAGCACCCCAAGTGTCCCAAGCACCCCGAGCATCCCAGAAGCCCCAAGTAGCCTCAACACCCCATGAACCCCAGACACCCCAAGGACCATGGGAACCCCATGCTTATTGGAGGCCCCAAGCATCCCAAGTGCCTCAAACCCCCTGGGCACCCCGAGCACCCCAACAGGGCCACCCTCACCCGCAGCCGCACAGAGAGGACCCGGATGGGTGCTGGGGGGCAGGCACTGACCTCCCGCAGCGCCTCTGCATAGGAGCTCATGTCGGTCAGGATCACCAGGACGTGCTTCTCGCACTGGTAGGCCAGGAACTCGGCGGTGGTGAGGGCCAGGCGGGGGGTGATGATCCGCTCGATGCTGCCGTGGGGTGCGGTGAGAACCCCACATCCCAGCTCCCCTTCCTGAGCCACCCCCCGCCCCAGCTCCCCCCGGTACCCATGGGCGCCTCCTGGGGTCCCTGAGGTGGGACTGGGTGATGGCCTGCACAGGGCTCCCAGCGCTGCAGGGTGGGATGGGGACCCACAAGGTGTGGGGCTGGGGGAGGAGTTCCCTGCCTGTTCACTGCCAACACTGGGGGGTCCTTCAGTGAGGAGAAGGACAACGATGATGGGGAGGATAAGGAGAAAGAACGAGGGAAGAAGGAGGGAGGAAGGAAGAAGGAGGAGAAGAAGGAGGAAGGAAGGAGGAGGAAGGAAGAAGGAGGAGGAGAGGAAGGAGGAAGGAAGAAGGAGGAGGAAGGAAGGAGGAGGAGGAGGAGAAGAAGGAAGAAGGAAGAAGGAGGAGAAGAAGGAGAAGAAAGAGGAAGGAAGAAGGAGGTGGAGAAGAAGGAGGAAGGAAGAAGGAGGAGGGGAAGGAGAAGGAGGAAGGAAGGCGGAGGAGAAGAAGGAGGAAGGAAGAAAGGAGGAAGGAAGAAGGAGAAGAAGAAGGAAGGAAGGAGGAGGAATAAAAGAAGATGGAGAAGGAGGAGGAAGGAAGAAGGAGGACGAGAAGGAGAAGGAGAAGAAGGAGGAAGGAGAAGGAGGAAGGAAGAAGGAGGAGGAGAAGAAGGAAGAAAGAAGAAGGAGGAGGAGAAGGAGAAGAATGAAGAAGGAAGAAGGAGGTGGACAAGAAGGAGGAAGGAAGAAGGAGGAGGGGAAGGAGAAGAAGGAGGAAGGAAGGCGGAGGAGAAGAAGGAGGAAGGAAGAAGGAGGAAGGAAGGAGGAAGGAGGAAAGGAGGAAGGAAGGAGGAAGGAAGAAGGAGGAGGAGAAGGAAGAAGAAGGAGGAGGAGGAGAAGGAGGAAGGAATAAGAAGAAGGAGGAAGGAAGGAGGAGGACGAGAAAGAGGAGGAGGAGAAGGAGGAAGGAAGGAGGAGGAGAAGGAGGTGCTGGAGCCTTGGCACTGACTCACGTGGGGTCGTTGGCCAGGTTGAGGAACAGGCACACGTTCTCCATGGAGCCGTTCTCCTCGAAGTCGGACTTGAAGAAGCGAGCAGTCTCCATGTTCACCTGCCCCGGGGGGGACCGGGGGTCAGCAGGAGCGGGCTGGCTCCGGGCATGGGGAGCCGGAGGCAGGCAGGGATGAGGGGATGCAGGGAGCGAGGCTGCCCACGCATCCCATAGGGGCACCGGGGGCTGCCCTGCCCCAGCTCACCCCCATGGCCGCGAAGACGATGGCGAAGTTGTCCTCATGGAAATCCATCACGTCCTTGGACTTCTTGACCAGCCCGGCCTGGCGGCAGATCTGTGCTGCGATCTGCAGGGCACGGACAGCACATGGACCCCTCCGAGGGTTCACAGCACCCCCAGCACCAGGATCCGGCCCCCCGAGGGCAGGGGATGGAGATGGGGGGGACCAGTGGAGGAGTCGCTTTGCTTTATCAATTGCTGTGATGGGGAAACTGAGGCAAGGGGTAGCGATGCCCCAGCCCATCACACTGCATGGATAGGGGACCACAGCAGTGTGGGTCTGGTCCATCGTGGTGAGCAGAGCTGAGCATGGAGCCAAAGCACAGCAGGGAGAGGAGGGATGCAGAAGAGCCTCCAAATGCTTCCTCTCCCATCCTCATCCTCCTCTTCTGCCTCATACTGGGGGCTCAGCACCCCACAGGGACCCACCTCATTGTGGGGGAGCCCAGCAGCGGAGAAGATGGGGATCTTCTGCCCACGGGCGATGCTGTTCATCACATCGATGGGTGAGATCCCAGTCTGGATCATCTCCTCGGGGTAGATGCGGCCATGGGGGTTGATGGGCTGGCCTGGAGCAGCACAGGGAAATGAGGCACCCGCACCCAGAGCACCCCAATGGGGAGGGATCGGACCCCCCATGGAGCTGGGTCCCCTCCCACAGCACCCAGAGCCATCACCATTGATGTCCAGGAAGTCCTCAGCCATCACCGGGGGACCGCTGTCGATGGGCTTTGCAGAGCCATTGAAGACCCGACCTGCAGGGAGAGAGCTGCTGGTCCCTGGGAACACCCTCCCCATGGATGTGGGGCTCCCATGGGTGACACCATGG